ACTACTACTACTACTACTCCGACTCCGACTCCGACTCCTGCTCCTGCTGCTGCTGATGCTGCTGCTGCTGCTGTTACTTCTACCACCACACAGACTACTGCTGCTGCTGCTGCTGCTACCACTGTTACCAGTACGAGTACGACTGCTGCAACTACCACGATGACACACGAAGCATTCGCATTACAAGGGGAGCGTCATCGCAACTGCACTCGCATAGTAGCACGCACGTAGGAGCCATTGCGCATGCATTCGCATCGTGCGTCATGGATGCCGGATGAGTCTGGCAGAGCCCATGGAGTGAAAAACTTGGGTCCTTCGTATCTTTGGGCTTTCGTTCGGATGAGCTGGCCTTGGCTCTACTCGAATTCAAAGTAACTCCCGGATGGAAGGCAACCTCCAAACCCCGAGCATGCGGGGCTTTGTTTGCGACTAGCGGCATAGACGAGCAAGTAGGAGCTGCTGGGAATGTCCGTATCTACAGGCACCGATATTTCGTGAACTCCGGCCGGTGTAGAGCCAACCAGAGAGCGGTTGGTTCCCGTCTCGTCGAATGCAATATAGATCAGGAAGTCCGTGATTCGACCTCGTCAGCACACAGCGCTTGCCTATACCTCTGGGCTGCAAACGGGATCCCCCCATGCAAAGGTACTTGCACTCGGCAATCGCCTCTAAGGTCATGTTCCATGGGCAAACGGAAGCTTGCAAGCAACAGAGGTCAGAATCAGAGTTCTCCTCGCAACAGCTCCCGGAGCCTTTTCGGACTTCAAGTCACAACCGTCTCAAGGTTCGCCAGGACGCTCAAATCCGGAGGATCCCAGACCAGCTGGCCACCGATTTGCCCCAGGTCCAGGTCCTGCTGTTATCGTCACCACTGCGGCCATGCTGTTGCTGAGGCTACTATGAGTATTCATGATTTTGCTTGTGTACGTTCGGAAGCTGCAGTCCTGGCAATGCGTGCCTCCGTGCTGAACGATACATTTCTGAAGGAGATGAAACTGAAGAACAACACCACAAAAGAATGTCGCACCACTACAAAGACAAGCAGCAGTTTCGAAAAGCAGCAGTTCGAATGCTTCTGGTCATGTACAACCCATCTCGTCATCGACACCAGCAGCATTAGCTGCACCAACCGCATCATCAACAAAGGCAACATCATGAAGAAGCAGTGTAGTGATCGTAGAACCGGTTGCAGTAAGTCGTCGCCGCGGTAGTAGTAGTAGTAGTAGTAGTAGTAGTAGTAGCAGCAGTAGTAGTAGTAGTAGTAGCAGGAGGAGTAGTAGTAGCAGTAGTAGTAGAACATAGTAGTAGAATATAGTAGACAAAACAAAGGCCCGCTGTCTTGATTTCGGTGTGTTCGATGGCCTCGCAGCCTTCCGATTGAGACCTCGTCGAACACCCATAAATGAAGGACTGAGGTGTGCAAGTCGCAAAGCATTTTAGCTAGATTAACGAAGTTGAAGGAAATTGTGCAAACTGGAGGGGGTTGCCCTCGTTTGAGAAAGTTGTCTTCGCACCACCATCGCCGTAGTTGTCGCCGTGACGGTAGCAATCGTGATGGTCGTTGCAGCAGCAGTGGGGCTAGTGGTCAACCGTCATGCCCCAAATTTCCAAAAGCAAGAACTGAATTCGATTTACTGCTCAAGTGCACATATTCGAAGTTTGGAAGGGGCACAAGAGAAATCTTGATCATCGTAGTAAACTCAGTACTAATAATCAGCTTGATGAGCATAACCACCAACAGCGCCATCAGTTGGCACAGTGTATGTCAATGATGCTAACACCCGAAAGTAACAACAGTTACAATCCTCATCATGACTGTTCAACTTTTAGCACAGTTAGCATCGCAGTGATCCTATGGTGACAGCGATGGTTTTGATGATGGCGCTCACCAACACATTCGACACCGTTTCTCCTTCTGCTGATAAGAGGGAGAGTCAGAGGGCATGGCCAAACGTCGAATCTAGCGTGTCAACACCCGGAGCCCGTGGAGTCCTGATCTACGAAGCTGGCGTTTGCCGCGCTCTCGGCTGTGTCCTTGCAAGTCTGACAGTGATGGACATGTTGCTTGTTGTGGCCAAAAGCCCCGCCCCTTGAGTTTGAATCCCGAAGTGGCACCCCGAATTTCGAGCAGCCGCGTCGCAGCAAATGACAAAAAGGCCGGCGTGGTCTGCTCCGTCAGCTCCTGGAATGGAGTTCAAAAGGCAAACATACAGGACATCCGATACCCCAAAGAAGTCTGGCGACTGGTTCGATTCGAAGGGGCTCGCTTCAGTCGGAAGGCTCTGGCCAGTTTAGCTAGGGCCGCGACGGACTTGGTGTACACCAGGATGTGCGAGTAGTTCTGTTGATCCGTGTCCGGGGGAATCAGCAAGTAGTTGCCTTGGGATTCATCAAAAATCTTTTCACAGGCGCCTGTCAGAACATTTGCAAAACGGATTGATTTCGAGCTCCGTTTCACACATCAGAACGCAAGCTTCGGAACGTTGGTTGGTTTGGGATCTTTTCCGTTGCTTTGCGTTGCCCAGCTCTTTCAAGCGTTGTCCATAAGACACGGACATTTCAGGCACAAACCTTGAACCAAGGGGCTGCCGACTGGCACCTCTGGAGATATCCACGCCCGATCCAGGCCATCGGAGCTCTCAGCCAAATAGACCCTGTAACTAAGGACCTCGTCCGGAGCACTGTATGCTCATGCTCGAACACGCA